ACAGGGTAACAAAGAAAGTTGGTGTCACAGGGACAGAAAGACACAGAGAGCAACAAAAACCAATATCCAAACTCTTTACTCTGTACTGTATACATGTGCTTTTGTAGCTCTTGTCACCATCAGAGAGAGCTCCCATCATTTCTTGTTCTTGGCCCATTTTCTTACCAGAATAGGAAGTTAGGGTTAATCTTCCCAACGAGGAAGCAGATAGCAATAAAAACAACTTATCAGAGGTTCTAATTTTCCCATTCTTTGGTAAATAAAGAGTTTGGGGCCTTAAAAATGGTTATTAGATATTTGGACATCACATATATTAAAGACTGAAAACTGTCTTAAAAAACTGGTAAACAATGACTTGTTAGTAGTAAAGATTTTGAATCAAACAAAACATTTTTTTTTTTGCTATATTTTTCTTGAAATATTTGATTTAGAATGGTCATTACACATTTTATGTACAGTAAATAATTCTGGTATCCGGTCTGGTAGCCATTGAAATGACATTAAACAATAATATCTGTATAGATTTGCTTTCCTGCTGCTGTTAACCATTGCCATATTATTGTTGGCTGACCTCTGAGGTCACCAAGTCTGGATGAGCACTATTCCCCGAGCCCTCTTGGGACAGCACCTTTAGAAGCAAATTAACAAACAGATTTGTTCTGATTTATTGATGACTTTGCCCACTGGCACTGTGAAATGAGAACACTTTTGCAAGCCGTCAGTTGCCTTGAGCAATAAGTACCTAACAAGTTTAGCACTTTGTGCTTCCTTTATTTACACCAGTGGCAGCATGCAGATAAACAGAACCACTGGCACATAGTCAAAGGTCAGAGTCTCAGGTCAGAAGTAGCCTAGGTCAATGACTAGTAACCTGCATGCAGTACTCTATGAGGTTTCTTTTGTTTTCCTATAAAAACATTACTCTGCATACCCATCACTGAGTAAACACACAATATCTGCTGTCTACTTGTAAGACTTGTTTTGTAGATATCTGACCATAGACATGCAAGGATGATTGAATATAGTGGCACAATACAGCTAAATATTTTGTACACTCATTTTCCCCATGAACATTTTTTTAGGCTATATGGGAAAAAAGAAAGACACATACAACAGACTGTTTTCTAACCTATGCATACCCATCAGTGAGTAAACACACAATATCTGTTGTCTACTGGTAAGAAGGCTGCTATGACATGCGTTCTACAGATGCCACATCTATAGGGACAATATGCACATCACATCCACAGAACCAGGAACATATTATTATTATTATTATCATACAGGATTTATATAGCGCCAACGGTTTGCTCAGTGCTTTACATTATAGTGGGAGACAATACAGTAACAATACAGTTCAATACAAGAGGGATTAGAGGGCCCTGCTCCTTGGAGCTTACAATCTAGGAGGGCGGGGTGAGTAATACAGTAGGTAGTCACTGTGGGGGATGGAGTGGTTGGAAGAGTAGAGGATACCAGAATTAGCAGAGAGCAGGATAGGCTTCCCTGAAGAGAAAGGTTTTCAGTGAACGCCGAAAGGCAAGTAGAGTAGGTGATAATCTGATAGATTGGGGTAGGGAGTTCCAGAGGATGGGTGACGCCCTGCAAAAGTCTTGGAGACAAGCATGGGAAGAGGAGATAAGGGAGCTAGAGAGTAAGAGGTCTTGTGTACGGTTTGGGTGATATTTAGAGATAAGATCAGTTATGTAAGTTGGGACAGTGTTGTGGATGGCTTTATATTGTCAGAGTTTTGAATTTTGTCCGTTGGGCAACTGGGAGCCAGTGGAGGGATTGGCAGAGAGGGGTGGCAGATACGGAACGGTTAGTGAGGTGGATGAGTCTGGCAGCAGCGTTCATGATAGACTGGAGGGGGGATAGTAGTCGAGGTGTGATATGATGAGGGAGTGAATGAGTTGCTTAGTGGTTTCCGGGGTTAGGAACGGTTGTATCTTGGAGATGTTGCAGAGGTGAAGTCTACATGAATTTGTCAGCGATTGGATCTGGGGCTGGAAGGACAGATGGGAGTCTAGGATTACCTCTAGTACCCTGGCGTGAGGGGATGGACTGAGGATGGTGTTATAGTGAAGTCAGTGGGGGTAGCTTGGGCAGGGGGGAATACTAGGAGCTCAGTTTTGGAGAGGTTGAGTTTGGGGAAGTGGAGTGCCATCCAGGCCAATATGTCGCTTAGTAGGCTAGCGATACGGGTGGAAACTGTAGAGGTGAGGGGTAGACAGATTTGCATGTTATCAGCATAGAGATGGTAGTTGACATATACTTCTTATGGTCTCTTGCAGTGTGGCTCCACCCTTATATGCATTGTGTCCTTTGGGCTTCTTCAGTAGTACACCTAAAGGCTTTAAAGTGTAGCTAAAGGCAAAAGTTTTTTTTTTAGTTTTGGATAGAGTGGAGAGCAATTAGAACTTCTTCAAGTTTTTTATTGTATTCTGTGCTTCGTTAGGGAGATTCACTCTCTCTATTTGTCCTGTTTACCATAATCATTTAAAGTGAAAGTAAAAGAAACCCCAAATTTGGGTTGTCCCCAGAAAAATAACAGATGGGAAATGTTCCAATGGGGACACTAGTTCTAGTGACCTGGGAGTCCCCAAGGAATTCCCTTGATTTACTGAGATTTTCAGGTAAAGGTACATCTCCCAAAAGGGACAAAGATATGAACAAAATAAACTGACAGGGGTTATAACTCTCAATTACACTATACAAAATGGAAAAAAAAAAGTGTTGTCTGTAGTTCTACTTTAACTTCAGACTTTATGTATTCTTTTATTGGCTAATACAAGAGTCTGCTGCTCCTTTGATATCTGTAAATCGGGACTGTCTTAAACCTCTCATAGATATGAGATTGTGTTGTTGCAAAGCAGCAGGTTCACTTTAATCTCGGCCCCTGCATCAGCTTATGCTATACCACATGCTGTGTCCATGACTGGTACTTCTTACATGGTACTGAAGGAGACTATGAATTACACACCTTTCCTCCAAGTGACAGTGCTGGTTCTTGCCAATTGACTAGTCAGGCACCCAGCACTGTCACATGGGGGCAAGGAGAGTGTCCTCGGCTTTGTGTAATCCCCAATTCCTATCCTGGTGCTTATATACTGCATATCCTTGCATCTGACTGCAGATACTGTAGAGCAAAGCACAGGTTCACTTTGAGACAGCACAAGTAGAACTGTAAACTCATAAAATGTAAAGTCTTCACTCAAGCTCCTGTAAGTCCATCCGGTGAGTCCTGTAATAGGTGCTGGCTGGGCAGGAGTCCATGTACACTCCGCACATACTCAGACTATGCATAGAGAAAGGTCCCAAACACTGCACACCTAGCAAGCCATTATTAAACAGGAGGACCTCCATGATTAAGCCCTGTGGGTGGTGTGAAATGCGTTGGGGGCGTGGCTATGGATGAAGTTGGCTGAGGCTGCTTTCATCTGTTTACTGATGGCTTTGCTAGGTGTGCGGTGTTTGGGACCTTTCTCTATGCATATCCACAACACAAACTGTACCTTATATTTTCTTGAATTATGTCACACTTGAACGTGGTTACAAATATGCTGGTACAGTGATTAAAATTGTTAGTCCAGTAGACTGCATACACTTATCACCATCAATAAAAACTGTATATTTTCCTGCACGCATAGTTGATGCATAGCTGAATGATTTAGACGTAACAGAAACATTTCAAGTATTTGAACAGTACTTGCCTCTCAGCCAACTACTACCCAGCGTAATTTAGTGAACACATAGGTATATCTTCATTAATCAAGGACTATGTCAACAGGACAAAAAGAAAACAATGGAAAAAAAACTGTTATAAAAGTTGTGCCCATGCTGCTTTTAGACTTTTCCTTAATAAAGATTGTATTTTGAGAAAGATACACTATATTTCCAAAAGTATTGGGATGCCTGCCTTTACATTCACATGTACTTTAATGGCATCCCAGTCTTCGTCCGTAGGGTTCAATATTGAGTTGCCCCCCCCCCCCCCTTTGCAGCTATAACAGCTTCAACTCTTCTGGGAAGGCTGTCCACAAGGTGTAGTAGTGTGTCTATGGGAATGTTTGACCATTCTTCCAGAGCCGCATTTGTAAGGTCAGGCACTGATGTCAGACGAGAAGGCCTGGCTCGCAGTCTCCACTCTAATTCATCCCAAAGGTGTTCTATCGGGTGCAGGCCAGTCAAGTTCCTCCACCCCAAACTCGCTCATCCATGTCTATATGGACCTTGTTTTGTACACTGGTGCGCAGTCATGTTGGAACAGGAAGATGGAAATTGTCCAAAATGTCTTGGTATGCTGATGCCTTAAGAGTTCCCTTCCCTTCACTGGAACTAAGGGGCAAACCCAATCCCTGAAAAATAACCCCACACCATAATCCCCCCTCCACTAAACATTACACTTGGCACAATGCAGTCAGGCAAGTACTGTTTTCCTGGCAACCGCCAAACCCAGACATATCCATTTGATTGCCAGACAGAGAAGCGTGATTCATAACTCCAGAGAGCACGTCTCAACTGCTCTAGAGTCCTGTGGCGGCGTGCTTTACACCACTGCATCCGACTCTTTGCATTGCACTTGGTGATGTAAGGCTTGGATATAACTTCTCCGTCATGGAAACCCATTGCTTGAAGCCCTCTATGCACTGTTGTTGTAATCTGAAGACTACATGAAGCTTGGAGGTCTTTAATTTTTGACTCTGCAGACAGCCGGCGACTTCTGTGCACTGCACGCTTCAGCATGCACTGATCCCATTCTGTCATTTTACGTGGCCTACCACTTCGTGGCTGAGTTGCTATTGTTCCCAGTTGCTTCCACTTTGTTATAATACCACTAACAGTTGTAATATTTAGTAGCATGGAAATTTCATGGATGGACTTATTGCACAGGTGGCAACCTATCTTGGTATCACACTTGAATTCCAAGCTCCTGAGAACGACCCATTACAAATGTTTGTAGAAGCAGTCTGCATGCCTCGGTGCTTGATTTTATACACCTGTGGCCATGGAGGTGATTGGAACACCTGAATCCAATGATTTGGAGGGGTGTCCAATACTTTTGGCAATAAAGTGTATGTCACACAAAGGCCTGCAGTAAGCTGCTTTAGGATCAGATTACATGCAGTCTATTCATTCTGAGTTTATCTGTGATCACTTTGAGTTTACCTGTGAGAACTTCAGCAAGAGTCTAATAGTAATCTATGTGAACCACTGATAAATTACTTTCTGTTTCTGTATACTCTATTCACATAAATTCCTCCATTAAAATTATGTATTTGTCCTTTTAGAATACATTTTTAGGGCATATAAGTGAGTTAACATTATTACATGTTTGTACCTTCCTAAACATAATTTGGTAAGTAACTAGGTTGTGTACATTGCTTTGATTTTTTGGACTTTTCCAGTTTTGAAATATAGGTGCCAAAAGAAAATGACTTATTTTAATATTACTATAGTTTCTTCTGTTATCTCAGCACCATAAATATTGTATAACTTTATTTTTGTGTCCTTGACCATTCTGAGATGAAGTTAAGGATTGATGTACATCTTAGCCTCATCCATCTTATGATTTGCCTATTCATTCTTAAAAACATATACTCTATTCAGCATTTCCCTTTATAAATAATTGATATCTTTGCACTTTGGAATGTGTATGATTACGAGTTCAATAATTTGCATCAGATCAATTGCAGTGTCAGTTCAAAATGCTTTCTAGCCATTAGGAAAGCTTGCATGTGCTTTACTCTTTAAAAGGTGCTGTTCCACTTACGCGGTCCAATTTTTTAATTGCTTTTGCATTCCATTTCTAGCTGACACTTTATGAAATTACCATTCCAGTGTTGTTGACTGTAGACTTTGGGTATATGAAGCTGTCTGTGTTGTGCTGTAGCTTTTATGGTATTAGCATTAATAGATTGTGCCCTTATTTATGTCACATTTTCCATCTGTGTTAGTCTTTGTGCTCCAAGCAACTGTTTGTTCATAGACGGCCTGGACATACATTGTTTTATTTTTAACATTAACACAGTCTTTCAGTTAGTCCATACACCAGTCATTTATTGTATAAAAATAAACCCGTTTATATCAAGCCTGTTTATAATTGGCACAAATATAGAACAAAGCAGACTCCTTCACCAAACTGAAGTCTTCTCTGAGACCGATATCACAAAGGAAAGGAATATTCTTTCTGTACAACAAAGTCATTACTGCAGTGTTGCAAACATTATTTTTACTATTAGAATTGTTTACCTTAATTATTTTTAAATTTTAGATCACTTTTTATCAGTGATAGATTCCCATTACTAAAGGAAATCCAAAAAACTTAGTATTATAGTGTCCCGATTACCAATGACATTTTCACAAGATCTGAACATTTTACAAATGACATGGGTGGCCCTAGTAATGAGCATGCTTGTATATATGTGAGATAGAGACCTAAGATTGTAAGCTCCTTGAGGGCAGGGACTGATGTGAAAAAGAGTAATTTTCAAATTAGTAGTTTTTTTCATAATGCCAAACAGCAATGCTCTTACCCCATATATCAAGAGCCCTCTGATACTGACAGTATATATATATATATATATATATATATATATATATATATATATATATATATATATATATGTATATATATATACAGAGAGAGAGAGAGAAAAATTTTACTGGATCTTTGGACCACAGGAGCTCTTGGACAAGCATTATGTCTGCTGCTGATTTGTTGTAACTCAGGGCAGCAAATCGGATATTGGTCTTCATTACAGCCGATCAGAAATTAGCTGTAAGATAAAAAACAGAGGAGCTATTTAATAAAACATGTTTTTTAAGGGGTAACTGTGGGTTAATGTGCATTATTGCTTTTGCATTGTAATACCTAATAAGCCCAGCATAGTTACACTTAGGTATATGTTTTACACAATACTTGCCTTGCATGAGCTATTAAAATGGTTTAATTTATTACCACAAAGTGCATTTTACAGACTGTTTAAATGATCTGAGCATTTTATTGCCCTATTTGAAGTACAGTAAATTAGGGTATTATTTCTGATTCTTTGTATGTACAATATTATATCCCATGCAGATCTACTTCTTAGGAAAAGAAATCTGCCTCTGTGGGTACTCCTTAGCTAGGGTCCAAATCTGTTCCCCTGCACATGCACAGAAATTAATGGCATGTTTTATACCAACAAGCAAAATACATATTCATAAATAAAAATACTATGATTTCTTTTAGGCTGCCATTTTAGAGCAGATCAAGAACATATGGCTCTTGATGAGCTTGCCATAAAGATACCCTGTAAAGATTCCCCCCACCAGCAGCTTGTGTCTCCTACCTTCCTATCAGTCAAGCAATGCCCTGTGTCCCCTGCAGCTTATGTGTACCTTTTTCTGACTTCTACTTCTCTGTTAAATCCTGTAGCGATATAGAGGTTGGAGGGAGGGACCAGTGTGCAGCAGAGGACATGGGCAACTGACATTTCTGAATGTGCCAAACGCTGGAGAGACTGACAAAGGCTGCAGCGCTGGAACAATGGGGAGTTAGGACACACGACTGACCACCGGAGAGGTCAATATATCACCTCTTCTCCTGCAGGAAACTGGCCCTTTAATTCATTTGGAGACCTGCAAGGGTCTTTGTACGATGAACTTGGCACTATGGAGTTGAACTGATATATAACAAACAGCTGCAGAAATGTGTAACTGTCTTATTTTTCGGAGTGCATGTTCTTCCGTTCCCTGTCTTTCTTGCTGACCATTGTCATGTACAGAAAGTGAGAGGAAATCTCAAAAAACTTTAGGCTAGAGTTACATTTTAGAATTTACAATTCTTACTACACATTTAATAACACTGGGATAAAGATCCTTAGGATTTCTACAAACAGCTTTGGTTGACTTATAACAACTGGAGCAAAGGTGAAGCTGTTGCCCTTAGCAATGATTCATATTCTTCATATCATTTGACAGATAAAACTGGATTGGTTACTTTGAATAATAATTTAAGTCTTGGTCAATTACACTGCAGGCATTCCACCTGAAAACACAGAGCAGAGATGCACTTTAGAGATATACTTGATGCATACTTGCAAATTTATACACAGGGGCATGGCATATGCTGTCACAGCATCTCATGAGTACATTTTCTGCTTTTTGACATAAATCAGTTTGCTATAGTGTGCTATAATGAAGATAGGGTGGAGCCCCAGCTGCATATTTTAATGTTATACTGTAACCGAGCTTCAGTGGAATGTTAGGTTGGCATGTGTTCTACCATTATGGCTTATGTCTGAGAAACAGGTACTCAGAGGAATGTATCAAAACTGGAGCAGCCTTGCATAGTAACCAATCAGCTTCTAGCTTTCATTTTCAAAGCTCAAGCAAACCAGCTGATGATAGAGGCTGATTGGCAGACATGTCCAGCTGTTCCAGATCCTGTCTGCTCCAGTTTTCATAAATTCCCTACACAGGCTGAAGCTCCATACACATGGGCTGAATATCAGCCGAAATCAACCAGTACGGGTTTACACAGGTCTGAGCCAATGCTCAACAACCAGGGGAGAAAACCACCAAAGGGATGGCCGCTCTGTGTATGCTCGGACCCAGAAGTGATGTCATCAACCGAGCTGCGGAAGCAACAGAGCTGCCATCCTGGTGGCTCTGTCAGAGGGGGAGTAGACTCGGGGGTGTTCTCTCACCAATGGTTAAAGGGAAAGTACATTGAAATTTCAGTAAATTTTGATTTTTTTTTAGCACGTTTTTGTATTTCATTTTTTTTCATTTTCTTTAAATAGTGCTTTAGGTTTGTGACTGAAGAGCAGGATCTGTTAGCAATGTTGTGTTAAAGTATTGTTTTTATTAAGAGTGTTATGTATTCTCTACCCTTATGAAGGTACAGAATGGTACGTAAGGAAGGATGATAAGTAAGTGATTTTTACTGAGTGAGAACCTGCACTGATAAATAAACAGTCAGTTCTTTGACCGTCTGTGTAACTGTGACACCAAAAAGCACATATTTAAATGGTGCCTAAATCCCTGCAGTTGGTGTGGCTACTAATTTTCTGGACCAGACTCTACACACGTGGCAGATGGCTTGGAAGTGTCTCGTTATCCTCACCCTCACCAGACACATCCAGTCTGAAAAAAAAGAAGATTGAATAGTGATTTCACAGATTTTGGTCTTTAGTTAATCTGGGTTAGTGAGGCTTCAAAGATCCCATCAGTTAACACAGTTAAGCACTTGTGTACATTTCTGGCGTGTTTGTGCTGAAGCTGCTCAGAAAGCCAAGCTGTAGAGCCTGGCCATCCTAACAGCTGTCCCTTTCCACACACCCACACACATACGTATCAGAAGGATGGCAAGCTCTTGTGACGACTAAATGAATCCATTTACTCTGCGTTGTGATGCTAACTCTGTATTCTAATGGTTACAGTCATTGAGAATATGATATATTAAATGGCACATCAAAGCATTTTATATAAGCATCCATTAAAGGATCAGTTTCTTAATGCAATACTCTAATATGCCTTTTTTTTGGTTTATGATATTGTGTTTTGTTTAGTTAATGTTGATTTGTTTTTGTTAATGTTGATTGTAATGTAAATAGATTTCCCTTGCAATGCTGATTAGATTTATTGTAGTGTCACATAAACAATGCGTATATGAAACCTGTATAGAATTGTGTTGTGCCAAAGCTAGATTTAGTATCTAATTTGTGCTATGTGGTCTTATAGAGATGGCCACATGCACAAACATAGCAAAAAATAGAACAAGAGAATTTACAGCAGGGGTATCCAAGCTTTTGACCTTGACCAACAGTTGGGCAGATCACAAGTTAAGGATCACGGATATATATAATGTACCTACCTGAGTAATAAAACTTATTTTTATTACACACAAACGCACACACATGTACACATACACACACCCATAAAAAGTTGCAGTTCTTCGTTGTTTACTCACACATCCAGGCACTGCACTCTAGGGGGAGGCAGAGAGCACAGCACACACTCCT